CTTCGTCTTCAGGCCATCTGCAGACCTCCCTTGCACAAGACGCCCGAGCAGCGCTTCCGCAGAGCTTCCGCASGAATGAATGCATGGCTGGACGCAGCCTCTGGATTTATACTTCTGTGTTGCATTCGTTTGCCTTGCATCCCTGGCCCATGAGGCACACAGTTCCCCCCGTGGTACTTGCTGGACCGGACTGGTACTTTCTAGACTTTCCCATGACTGCATAGTGACAACCCTACGACGCAGTGCAGTCGCACTGGGGTCCTACTATTTGCCCTTGCCACTTGTCCTCGTCTCCAACATGGCATTGGTTTAGTCACACCACTTGACCACTTGCCAACCTTCTAGAAGGACTGCAGCTGGACTTCTACTCTACAGGTCTATGGATCAAATCCTGGCTACCTAAGGACCTACGACAGACCCACTTACCACTGGCGGTTCTACAGGTCGCAGGTTCAATTCTTCAAGTTGTCACAGATATTGTACACAGGTAAGTTGGGGAACTAGGGATCGAACCCGGGGTCCTACATCAGCTACTTCGAACTGGTGAATACCGTTTCAGACATGTTGTCCGCATGTCAAAAAAACAGCAGCGCGCAAATCACAATGAAGCATCATGCAGTCCTGATAGCATCCTTGAGCACAAAAGGGACAACGAATATCTGGGTGATAGGGATGTGTACATATATACATCAGGAGAGTCCAGCCTCCTCATGAGTCCATGAAACTCCGACAAAACAGTCTGTCACAGCCCCTCGTTTGTTGTACTCTTCTCCCTCTGTGTACAGTTTACCGCGCAGTTCTGTTTCACAATTTATATCACAAGAAGCTGCTCACATTTATATGATTTCTTCTCTCGTCTCCTCATTCTTCCCTCCCCCCCTTCCATCCCCAACGTCTTCCTTCCCTCTTCATGCCTGTTCTTCAGGATCCTCGCCCGCGCTGCAGCTCCCACTCTCGCCTCCTCGGTTGACGACTGCCTTCTTCACTCTTCACTCTCTCATGATGACAGTAACCGACGATCATGCAGTCATATCATGTGTGTACATACTTCTCAAAAAGGACTCGCAGCACCTATACCCCAATAAGAGCCAGGACGACCGCTATCAAAAAATTCAATGCTGTAGAGAAACGGCAATAGACAGAATTGGGAAACTTCAAATCAAAGAGTAAATAGAAGGGAGGGACCAGCGACTCCAAAACAAAACAATAAGAAAAAGAGGGACACCAAAGAATTTATCCATCGCACCGCACACACTCCAAGCGGGTTCGATCCGAGCATCCTGGACACATGGTGTGGAAATGTTGAGTGGAAACGTGGTGCTGAAATGTTCAGTGGACATATGGTGTGCAAATGTGGCGATTTACAGACATGCCTCGCAGAAATCAAAATGCAGTTGGAATTGCAACAAAAAAAACAACGCTAACAACGCTGACGTACAACACAAGAAGACAAAAGCAAGTCTCTTTCTGGGCATCCTCAGGGCTACTACGGGCCATGCTCACACTACCGTGTTCTGCCAAACGCAGCGCACCCTAACAGTGGAGTGTATACAAGCAATCTTTCCTATCCGGAACACCGGTGATCAGGGTACTTTAAGGGTGCGGATGAAGACCAGTAGGACTTCTTCTTTGACTGCAGCGGGCCTCCATCTGCCCTAGCCTACAGCCAGGGCCTATTTGGCTATTTGCCAGTTCGGCCTGTGGGACCAGGTCGTGGCCTGACCCCACAGGCCATGTGCTGTTCCAGTCCTGCCCGGTACCACTGTCGGTACCAGGCCAGTCCAGTCCAATCAGTCAGTCCGCTGGGGGTATACCCCAACTGTTGTCTCTTCTCACCTATTTCTCTCTTTCTTCATCACTTCTCCATCCCCCCCCCACCCAACTTTGAATTTACTGTCTTTTTCTTCTTTCCTCTTTCTCTTTGATTTCAATTTTCTCTTTTCCTCCAAAAATTCGAGTTATCTTATTCCCTACTTCTTTTCTCATTTTCTGATTTATTTTTATTTTTATTTTATTTATTCTGAAAATTCGAATTTTTCTGCAGCACCTCCAAGGACTTAGTCTTTTCTGTTGTCGGCGCATATTTTGACCCATTGGGAGTAACGAAGTGCTGCCGATATTTTGTCTTTCCTCCCTACTTTCTTCTTACCGCACATTTTGACCCCTTGGGGGTAGCGAAGCGCTGGCCAAATTTTCCCATTTTACTTGGTCTTTTTCTTGACGGCACACTTCGACCCCATGGGGGTAACGAAATGCTGCTTAGTCTTTTTTTTTGATGGCACACTTCGACCCCATGGGGGTAACGAAATGCTGCCGAAATTTTTGAAAAATTCCAAAACTCAATTTCTCTTCACTCTCCTCCGCCTCCTTACTTATTTATTTATTTATTTATCTATTTATTTATTTATTATTTATTTTTCTGAAATTTTTAATTTGCAGCATTTTGAAAGTTAGTGTGTTCCTCTTGCTCTTCCCTTCCTCTTGGCACATTTTTGACCCCATGTGGGGTGGGAAAATGCTGCCAAAAATTCCAAAAAAATAAATACTCTCTCTCTCCTCACTCTTTATATTTTATTTATTTATTTATTTCTAATTATTTTTTTATTTTATTTTTCTCTCAAAAATTCACTGTTTATTCTATTTTCTCTCCCCCTCCCCTCTATAGTTATTATTTTCTTTTCTTGATTAGGTCGCTGCTAGCCTCCCCTGACCACCTGAACTCCGGTTAGGGTTTTTCTAGGGTTTAGGGTTCTCCTACCCCCCCCCCCTACTCTCCCGCCTCCTCCCGTCGGACACCCTGGACCCAAACGGCTCCTCTCCCCTCGACCGGATTCGCGCCACCATATCCCGTGCGACCCGTTGGTCACGGGGCGAACCGACCCACGACTACCCACTCCACTCTCACGGTCCCCTCCGTCTCACCGGTGGTCCCCTGTCCCCATACCACAACCCATATCTCCCCCCACCTCCCACCATGTCTACTTCTCCTCCTCCACCGCCCACAGAGAGCGCTACAACCGAGGAGATCGCCGCGGCGCAGTCCACATCCCAGGTCACCCCGCAGTCAGCGGCTCATGATCAGGCTCATGCGGACACCATGGACCTTCATGTCGTCCTTGTAGCAATCCAGGCACAACTTAGCACGCTTGGACCGTTGCAAGCGCAAATCAATGCGCTTGCCCTTGACGTCAACCGCCTCAAGGGCTCTCCCCACCGCTCTCCCCTCCACTCTCACACCCTATCCGCTGTCGGCTCACCGGCCGGCTCCCCACAACTCCGGCGACACGGACGTGGTGGTTTTTCCTCCCCTGTGGCTCAGGCCCAACCCTCCCACTCAGTAGTGGTGAGTGTCGTTGCCGCTCAAACCACCCCGTCTGTTGCGGCACCTCCTTTGGCCCCTGCCGCCCCTACCGTCTCTACTGCTGCCGCAGGTGCTGCGGTCCAGATACCCCTATCTGGCCCAACAGTTTCATCGACCCACACCGGTGTTGCTCCACAGCTTCCCGCACCGGTCGCGACATTACGACTCCACCCTCTTCTTCCCGCCTTGGTTCCCCTACCCCCACAGCAGGGTACCACCCATCCCACAAGGAGACCCGCTCCGCCTCCTCCACCTCCGACCCCGCGCACCCAGCGAGTGGCCACTTTACAGGCCACCATTGCGCAGGCTCGGGCGGAGATCCTGGCTCTGAGATAGCCTCACCCTTCACAGGCTGCTCACCCTTCTTCTTCCTCTACCACCTCCTCGACCCCCATCATGCCGGCTCGTTTCCCTCAACGAGCTCCTCAGCCTCTCCCCTCTTACCTAGCCATTCCGAGACAGCTGCCAGCGGCCGTTGCCTCCTCGTCTGCTGGTCCATCCGCTAGCGGCCACGACCCACATCCTTCCCCCACCTCTGCCTCTGCAGCGGCCCCGACTTACGCCGCCACAGTGCACTCGCCTCGATCTCTCTCCCCCCGCCATCAGCACAGTGGACATCCTCATGTGCGCACCTCGGACATTCCCGAGTATGATGGCACATCCTGCGTCTCTCGCTGGTTGCAGATAGCAACGCACACACTCTCGCTGACGACCACCCGTCAGGAGAAGTGGTGCGATGTGCTCGCAACCAAATTGCGAGGCAGTCCGTCCACTGCATGGGAGGATCATTATACCCAGCGCCTCCGCGTAAGTGGGGTCCCCACTCTGGCCGACTTCGCAACCTTCCTTCAGGACCGCTTCGGCGCTCGTCATGACGCCACCGAAGCCTTAGACCTCGTCACCTAAACCAGATGGTCCGGGTCATCTGTACCGGCCGACCTGGAGCATCACATCCGGGTGTTTCAGGATGCTCGCCTTGTTTGTGACGGGACATTCTTACCCGAGGTGACACTCACCGACCCGTTCCTCGTCAACCTACCGACTAACTGCCGCTTAGAGCTATGGAGACGATCATTCTCTTTCGCGGAGCAGGCATACAAGGCTGCGAGTCAATACCAGAGGATGTGCAGTCGCTTCTCCGTCTCCCCATCCTCTTCACGGCCAGCCGCCACCTCCCAGTCTCGCGGTACCACCAGAGGCCGCTCCTCCTTTGCTGGTCGTTTTCATCGCCCGACTCGACCTGGAACGCCATTCTCTCGGCACTACAGTTCTCTCGAGTATGGAGAGGACGCCTCAACCGACCTCGACCCTACCATTAGGGACGCCCCCGAGGACATCGAGCTTCGAGACGTTATCCAGTACCACTTGGATGGCGACATTGTCCCGGTGGCCGAGTGTCTGCAGATGGCCATGTCTGCCATGCGTCGTGCGCACAGTCGGGTTGCACAGGCTGGCGTCCGCACACCCACAGTTCCTCGGATAGACCTCCCGCAGGGTTTTGTACCTCCTCGCGGAGCTCTATCCCCTGAGGAGCACGCCGCCCTTGAGGCCCGGCGCGACTGCCTTCATTGCCGCCTGGATGGACACACCTCACGGTGTCCATACCATACCGTCCATACCATACCGCCCTCGATCGGCACTATGTTGACGTCTCTCATCAGTGTCGATCTCAGCCCCCACCGGCCCCGCTCGGCCAGCACCACCCAGCTAGCCACGGTGCAATGTACCACTGAGGCCTCACACGTAGCCAGCTTCCCGACCACCGAGTCGCAGTTTGCCCATTTGGCTGCCCCACCAGAGGATCCTCAAGACACGACAAACGCAGTTCCCTCTGCCCCGTCGTCTGTCGAGGTACCGTCTGCCTCACGACAGACCGCCACATCTAGTGCTTCCCCTCTGAGACTTCCGACGCGTAGCACCATTTGCACAGCCTGTTGTAGCGCTCAGTTGGCGACTCGCGATGACGTTGTGTTATCTCTCTTGAACTTGAGCATTCTTTAGGCTTGTCAAGAGTGACTCATGAGACACGTCAACGTCCTGCGTCGTCTTCTCGCTCTGCTTTCTGACCCTGATCGCACCCTACCCATTATCCCTATTCGCCTGGGGACATCTACGAGGGTGTACCGAGCTTTATGGGGTGCACCTCTGGATCCTTCGCGACCTAGCTACCTCCTGCTCTCCTATCTCCGTTACCCTCGAAGATAACAAAACACAGCGCTTCTTCGATCAGACGGTCCCTGACCTCCACTTCTCCCTCCCCCTCCAGCCACCGAATAGTGCCCAAGCGCCTCGGCGCTCCCATTCCGCCGCATACTTCGACGTGCTGGAGACTGGATACGACTTTATCCTTGGCACTCCCTGGTCTCGCCGGTTTCGTGGCACAGAGGCGGAATGGGCGACTGAGACACTCGTTCTCAAAACGAAGTGTGGTCAAACCCATCGCGTCCCCTTCATTGAAACCACGAGGACACCCCTCCCGACCTACCTCCCGAGGACCCTCGTCCCTCAGGATCCCACCCCGACATCGCCTTCACTTCCCCTCGTCAGTTTGCTCACTTTATACGACAGGAGGACGTCACGTTCTACTCAGTGAACGTCATGGATCTTCTTCGCTATGATCCACTCTATCCCGAGGTTGGGCTCATCTCTCTGGAGCCCGATCCCCCTAATCCTCCCTCCATCTTCGCAGCTCCCATCTCTACGTCCACCCGTCAGCCTGCGGATACCCCCTCCACGTCCCAGGCCCTTGCGCCGTCGACTGTCGAGTCCACACATACGTCTCGTGCCGACGTGGTTCACGGCAGACTTAGAGCCCGTCGTTCGCGACCTGATTCGAGAGTACCGCGACGTCTTCCCTCCGTATTTCTTATACAGCAGGATCCCTCCGATGCGTCGTGTTGAGCATTCTATCCAGCTCGTGCCTAACTATCGTGTTCACCATGAGGCACCATACCGACTCTCGATTCCAGAGGCGACGGAACTCAAGCGCCAGCTTGAGGAGCTCTTTCGACTGTGTTTCATTAAACCCAATAACTCCCCTTGGGGTGCACCTGTCCTCTTTGCTCGCAAAGCGGACGGAACTCTCCGCCTTTGCATCGACTACCGCGGCCTTAACCGTTACACGGTTAAGAACAGCTATCCCACGCCCCGCGTGGATGAGCTGTTTGACCGTCTGGCAGGCAACCGCTTTTTCACGAAGATCGATCTTCCAGATCCGCGTTGCTGCAGTGGATCAACCGAAGACCGCCTTCCGGTCGCGTTTCGGCCACTATGAGTTCACAGTGATGCCATTCAGCCTCACCAATGCACCCGCCATATTCCAAACGACGATGAACGATATCTTCAGGGACATCCTTGAAGAATACGTTCTCGTATACCTGAACTACATCTTGGTCTAGAGTCGTACCTTAGAAAACCATATCAGACACCTCCGCAATGTCCTACAGCGCTTACGCAAGCATAGCTTCTATGCCAAGCTGAGTAAGTGCCGCTTTGCCCAGCGCAAAGTGGACTTCCTAGGACAGCATGTGTCTGACCAGGGTCTCCACATGGACGACGCGAAGATCACTGTTATTGCAAAATGACCCGTCCCCACTTCTGCCAAGCAGCTTCGCAGTTTCCTAGGCCTCACCAACTACTATAATAATTTTATCCAGGGATACGCTAGGTATTCCTACGTCCTTACCTCCACCCTCCTCCGAAAGAACCCGCCATGGTTTTGGACACCCCTCTGCGAAGACGCTTTCCGCACCCTCAAGAAGGCGGTGACTTGTGCGCCGGATTTTCGCCTCCCAGATTTTGATCGCCCCTTCAACGTCACCACTGATGCGTCAAATTTTGCAGTAGGAGCAATACTTTCTCAGGTGTTTCCCTCTCCTCTTGATTCACCTTATCCGCATGTTTCTCCTTCCCCCCTCCCTCCTGCTGACATCGCTTCTCGACTAACGTCTATCCTCGGACAGTCCTCCCATTACTTACTCCCCGACCATCGCAGAGGATGGGACTGTTGAGGCTCGTGCTGGGGATTGTCGGATCGCCTTCTACTCCCGTCAACTACTGCCTGCCAAGATAAACTACACTGCCGGTTCTCGCAGTAGTTTATGCTACCCAGCATTGGCGTCATTACCTGCACGGGGCGCCCTTCACGGTGCGCACGGACAACTCAGTTGTCTAGGATTTCCTCACGAAGCCCAAGCTTTCTACTCGATAGGCACGTTGGTGGCGTGACGTATCCAAGCTTTCACCACTCAGCCCATCAAGGGTGAAACGAACCGCCTCGCCGATGCCTTGTCCCGCCGTCATGATCACAATCAGGAACCCATCCATCTTGCTTCCATCTCCATCACCATTGTTGATCAGTCGGTGATCAAGGCATATCGCACCCAGTACCATCACTGCCCGGATTATCGCGTCATTCACGCGACACTACGGAGTAGCAAGACCGTTCCCTCACACTCCCTTGGCGAGAACGATCTAGTGTACTGGCATGGCAGATCTCGTCATCTAGAACCACGTATCTGTGTTCCCTCCACCGGACAGCTCCGCGTCCAGGCTGTAGTAGAGTTTCATGATCAGGCAACTGCCGGTCATATGGGCTTCCACGAGACGTTGGCTCGTGTTTGCCGCCTATACGCCTGGCCGAAGTCCAAGGACTTCGTCAAAGCCTACATCCAGGAGTGTCCTACCTGTCAGGAGGTGAACAGTGCGAACCACCTCCCGTATGGGTTACTTCAGGCCTTACCCATACCCGAGGCTCATTGGCAGTTCATCTCGATGGATTTCATTGGTCCCATCCGCCCACCCACTGAGCGCGGTCATGATGCTATCTTGGTCGTCGTCGATCGCTTCACGAAGCATGCACATTTTGTCTCGCGCCGCTATCGCATTAGCGCTCGTGAGGTCGCCGACATCGTTTTCGACCACGTCGTGAGAGATCACGGCTTACCTCAGAGCATCATCTTCGACCGTTACCCACGCTTTACCAGCACATTCCGGCGACGCCTATACGAGGTGTACGGATCCCAGCTCCGCTTCTCATCGTCTTACCACCCTCAGACGGATGGTCAAATTGAGGTCACCAATAAAACTCTTGGTAATATCCTTCGAAAGTTTGTTAGGGATGGTCAGCGGTGGACTTACACTTAGCCCACGCGGAGATTGCGTACAACCATGTTGTTTCGCCAGCCACGGGGATGTCGTCATTCTATTGCGACCTCGGCTACCACCCTCGCGTACCCGCGGACTTCCTACGACCATTGCGGTTGCGCCCAGACACTCGTTGACCTGCGCTTGATGACTGGATCGCTCACATGGCGACGATTATGAAGCGCGCACACGAGAGTCTAACCGATTCCCAGACTCGCATGGCCTCACGAGCAAACCGATCACGAATGGATCACCCATTCAAAGTCGGTGACGATGTGCTCGTCGACGCACACCACTTATAGCTCGAAGCAGATACGCTTCGCAAGTTCAAGCTTCGTTTCTTCGGTCCATGCCGCAGACTTTAGACCGTCGGTTCTGATACTGCCGCTAGCCCGGTCAGCTTTCGTGTGAAGCTACCTGATTACCTTCGACAGGCTCGCGTACACGATGTTTACCACGTCTCCTTGCTGCATCCTTATCGCACACCATCTGAGCACTTCGAGCACTTAGAGCACGCCCAGACATTCGTTGTCCTGCGCTTGACGACTGGATTGCCCACATGGCGACGATTATGAAGCGCGCACACGAGAGTCTAGCCGACTCCCAAACTCGCGTGGTCGCACGAGTAAACCGATCACGAATGGATCATCCATTCAAAGTCGGTGACGATGTGCTCGTCGACGCACGTCACTTACAGCTCGAAGCGAATACGCTTCGCAAGTTCAGGCGTCGTTTCTTCAGTCCATGCCGCATCCTTCAGGCCGTCGGTTCTGATACTGCTGCTTGTCCGGTCAGCTTCCTTCTGAAGCTACCTGATTACCTTCGACAGGCTCGCATACACGATGTTTACCACGTCTCCTTGTTGCGTCCTTATCGCAGACCGTCCAAGCGTTTCGCCGAACGTCCTTATGAGCGCCCTCCACCTATCATGGTGGACGATCACGAGGAGTTCGTCATTTTCGACATCGTATCTCGCCGAGTTACCGACGATATCCCTCCACGCATCGAGTACCTTGTGCGTTGGAAGGGTTATCCTGAGGAGGAGGCTACTTAGGAGCCCCTCGAGCACTTGGAGCACCGCCCGGATGTTGATGCGTGCATATGATCGTGCTCATCGTGCTGAGACATTTGCTCCTACTCAACCGACTGACCCTCTTCCTCCTCCTGCTGAGGAGATTGCTGAGGACGAACCCCCTCCCTCTTAGACCGTTCTTCAGCAGCAGATGGACGCCTTCGCGCGTCCACAGCGCACTCGTCGACGCCCTCGACGTCTTGACGATTGACACTTTGATCACCTACTATCTCCCTATTGACTCACACCATCAGGTACTGCATCATCAACTTCTTCAGGATATCAACGTTTTGCGGCTCTGGTTCGATATCAACCTCGACTCCTACTTCATCGACGTCATCGACCACTTCGACGACTTCAGTCACCTTCTCGACTTCAACCATCTTATCGGCTTCAGCTACTTTGGACGTGACTACTTCACACCACCACCCTACCCTGTACATTCCCTTACATCTGTCGCATGATGGTTCTCACTTAGCTGGGTCTCCTTGAGTTGGGCCCTCCCTTGGTATCGCATAGGCATTGGGACCATAGCGTTATCTTGGCTTCCTTGCTCCCACATCTAGCTCCCTCCTCCCCCAATCGGTGAGTTGTATGAATGTTTCCCTCACCCACTGCCCTCATCACCTTAGTGCCAGCCCTTGCATGCCTTCAGTTAGGCATATCTCCACCCTATTCCAGGCTCCCCCTTTTTTTCATGGTTGACACTGCATGGTGACCCTATTCCCGCCCTGATGGTCTATCTGTTAGGGTCCTTGGTTTTGTTTCGCTACCACTCTCCCCCCTTGAGCCTGATGACCTATCCCACCTTCATGTGTGACTGTCGTTAGGAGTTTCGATTCTTAGGCTGCATTCACCCCCTCTGAGACCATCCCACTCTTTGTGGTTCAGCGACATGACATTACCTTGTGACATATTGCTCTTTTTCCTTTCAGCACTGAGGCAATTGCCTCCAAGACTTTAGGATTGTATATTGCTACATTTCATTTTCTGTTGTTAGCTAGGATGTGTATACCAAACATTTGCATTTCATTTGACATCATGTAGCTTAGGCTGCATCGCATGGACTCCGCATGGAGCGTGCTCCGCATCCTAGATTTCTCAGCTTTCTTTTTATTGTAGAGTTCCGCTGCTTTTGCGGATAGTGTGTTTATGGCTCTTGCGATTCATTACAAGTCTGAGGATCGTGAGGCTGGCCTCCATCTGCCCTGGCCTACAGCCAGGGCCTATTTGGTTATTTGCCAGTTCGGCCTGTGGGACCAGGCCGTGGCCTGACCCCACAGGCCGTGTGTTGTTCCAGTCCTGCCAGGTCCCACTGTCGGTACCAGGCCAGTCCAATCCAGTCAATCATTCCGCTGGGGGTATACCCCAGCCGTTGTCTGTTTTTCGTCATTCATCATTTTTGCACTTGTTGGAGTACGTGCGGTGTTGAGTCCGCGTCGGAGCTGCGCTGTCCCTTCCAGCTCCAGCTTCACTTCCTCCTTCCTCTACCCATTCGTCTCCATCCTGTCGGACCGCCATCCCGACGCGTCCGACACATTGACTGAATCTGGCCTCAATTACGAGAAAGTCTTACCCACTTTGACCATCCTGTACCCAGCACGATATAACTCCTTCTGAGACTGTCTGGGATAGAGCCCCACACGGTCATAACAGAATTGAGGCCTCGCTCCACCCCTCACCACACAGTAGGCTTTTGGCCACTCCACCACTCACCACGGTCCGGATGTCAGGACGAGTTTTTTTTTCCCCTGGTGAGTGAGCTGCGGTGAGCACTCACCACGGCCTTCATTTTCCCCACCTGCAACAGCGGGGTTGTGGTGGGTGCTCTCGGTCTCTCACCAAATACGGAGAGTTACTCACCATCAGGGCCTTGTCTTCTCCCCTTCCAGTGTTGTCTTCTTGCGGTCAACCGCGTAGTGAGCGGACAGTGTGGTTAGTGACGGAACGAGGGCAACCTTCCACTGTTAAGAATCCCGTGGTGACTACTCACCACGGGAAATCGAGTTTGGAGAGTGGCGGAGGGAGGCCTTTAGAGTGGAATAGTCAATGGGCGTGCCAAAACCAGGAACCAATTTCCTGTTTCTCTTTTCTGTCTGTTCTTGAAACCAAGGACCAATACAGGAACAATCAGGAAGAGAGACAAATCAGGACACACTGACACTAGGATTTCTAAATGAATCTGACTGCAATCACATCCAGAGCTCAGTAGAAAAAGTCCTAGTGTGAGTAT